CCCTACCCATCCACAAGGCAGCCATGGCAGCCATGGCCATACATTAGTCCCACAGATCCATTTTGTTCCGTTGGGTGCAACCCAACGATAGCCAGGATTTGTCCAATCTGATCCAGGCCATTTAAAAGGTTTTTTACGTATAAATGTAACATCTATAGTCCATTTACAAAGTCTTTGAGATGTATATCCCAAATACTTCCAGTCTTTTTTTGTTAAAGTTCTTTCATTATACCCGCAAGGTTGCTCCTTTTGTTCCCAGCAAATATCTGCGGGATTAGTCAATTTTCCAGTCTCTGGTGTAATCCACATATATTCGTCCCATATTTGGTAAACTTGTCCTGTAAGACGTCCGGATATGTCAGCTTCTTGTTGCTTTGCTTGTTCTGGGGTTCTACGATAAAGATCATTAGCTTCCTTTTCTGTAGCATTAAGATCAAAAAAGAATTCAGAGTGCATAACTTTTATAGAACACCAAGCAAGTGCAGATAACATTTTGCGACATGACATATTTTTGTTTTTGTTGTAACAACAATTCACATATAGCATGAAATTCATGTTTAGTAACAGGCATAACCCACCAAGGCAAGCTGCCAACAGACAACGGCATAGCACTGCAAACCCAACAATCAGATGTATTATGGAATTCAGCATAAGATTGAGCCCATGACAAAAATACATTTGCTTGGGCACCAGGAAAAGGCTTAAGAGCAACGGTACATGCCAAACTAATGACCAGAAACATTAATGACATTTGTGGATTTTCAGTGTTCTCGCTATCTGATTCGCTTGTTGAATCAGTTGTTGCGTTTGCAGAGTTGTTGGAAGAGGCATCTTCTTTTGAAGTTGGAGCTGCTGAAGATGTTTTATTACTGCTTTCCTCCGTCTGGCGTACCAGCCTTTCCGGAAGCCAGCGCGGCGTGTCGGCATCCTGTGGAAAAACACAAACATGGCCTCTCCCCCACATTAAAACTGAATCGGGGCTGGCCCATTGATTAGTAAGTGGATCCTTCCATCTCACCAAAGGGTGGTGAGAGGGTTTTTGGTTCCAAAAGCGTTGAGCAGCTGAATTGCCTTTAATATCATAAGTCAAAAAATTTAAAATAAAAAGGGCATGATGTAAATAGTTTTGTGGAGTAAGGGGATATAATTCCCCCCTCTTTAATTTATGAATTTGATGTTTAAGAGTTTGATGACAACGTTCCACAATTCCTTGCCCTTGAGGATTATAGGCAACTCCAGTTTTATGTTCAATTTTAAGTGTCTGGCAAAAGCGTTGAAACATCCAGCTAGTATAGCGGCCATTATCAGTTTTAAGTACACGAGGTTGACCCATGACAGCAAAACACTTTAAAAGATGATTAATACAGTGTTTGCTAGCTTCTCCAGTTTGTAAAGTAGCATGAATAAACCCTGAGCAAGTGTCAATGCTAACATGGACAAAAGGAGTGTTACGAAATTCTTTGATATGAGTAACATCCATTTGCCAAAGGTGATTGGGTAGAAGCCCACGGGGATTTACCCCATAATGTGGCACAGAAAATTCCCTAGGGCAGGTTTTTACAATTTGACGAGCAGCTTCACGAGGGATTTTAAATTGTAGCCGCAAGCTATGACCATTTTGATGATGAAGTGCATGAGACTGTTTAGCTTCTTCAAGGGCAGGATAAAACTGAGTGGCGCGATCAACATTAGCATTACCTTCAGAAAGAGGGCCAGATAAATTAGTGTGTGCTCGGAGATGACCAAAATAGCAAGGATGACGGCGACTGCGAATAGTAAGTTGCACGTCAAAAAATAAGCGGTTGACATAGGAATTAACAGTGCCAATAAAGGGAACAGTTTCCAAAATTTGCAAGGCTCGAACGGTATATTGACTGTCAGGAAAAAGATTACAGGGCACATGTTGAACTGCTATTAAAGCAGCTTGAACTGCTAATAATTCTACAACTTGAGCAGAAGTTTGAGAAGTTTGCCAAGATATAGTCTCATCATTTATAATGTAAGCAGCAATACCATTTGATGACCCATCGGTGAACACTGTAGTGGCTGAGGAAAGAGGGGAAAGAACAGTATTTTTTGGGAAAAGAAATGGATGTAACTTCGCAAATTGAATTAACTTATCAGCAGGGTAATGGGTAGTAATGCGTCCTGTAAAGTGAGCCAGAGCAGGAGCCCAAGAATCATTAAATTGTTGTAACTGATCTTGTTGCTCTCTAGTATATGGAATTGTAATATAATGTGGGTCTCTGCCTAAATATAAAGTGGAGGCAGTACGTCCCTCTGCAATTAAAGAACAGACTAAATTAGGATAAGCAGCTAAAGCTTTTGAAGGGGAAACATGCATATGTATCCAATACATAGGACTATGCTGATAAAGCACTCCGGTTGGCATATGAGGAGTGGGTAAAATAAGTAAACCCCATTCTTGAGTATAATCACAGTAAGTACATTGCTGGTTTTCAATGGCCTGTTCTACTTCACGTAAAGCCAAAGAAGCTTCAGCAGTCAATTTTCTAGGAGAACGAGGATTGGTGTCTCCTTTAAGAATGTCAAACAAGGGTTTTAAAGTTCCGGTGGAAAGTTTTAAATAAGGACGAATCCAATT